ATAATATACAAGAATAGAGATTAAGGAGGATCAGGCATAAGCATAATGTTTGTTAAAAAGAATAATAATCCCCATACATGTGTGTATGTATGTATGTTTATATGTTTATTTTGTGTTTGTTTGTGTAAAATACGTAAACATTTCAATAAAATTCTGCCTTTCGGGGCAGTCTTTAAAAAAAAAAAAGGAGTGCAGGGCTGTAATCTGGGAGAACCAGATTTGATTCCCCACTCATGCACATGCAGCTGCTGGTGTGACCTTCGGTCAGTCACAAGTTCTCTCAGAGCTGTTCTCTCAAGAGCAGTTTTTGAGATAAATCTCTCAGCCCCACCTACCTCATGGGGTGTCTGTTGTAGGGAGGGGAAGGTGAAGGGATTGTAAGCCGCTCTGAGACTCCTGGTAGTGAAGGACGGGGTATAAATCCAATTTCTTCTTCTTCTGTCACAGCTAATTTCTTCAGGTAGATAAATGTCCTGTTTCAAATGTTAGGCTATCCATGAAGGAATGTTAGGTGGCCTCGGGACAGTCACTTGGTCACTGTCTAGCCCACCTCCCAGGGTTGTTGTGAGAAGAGAAAGATCTGACTTCATCTGTGCTATCCTGACCTCTCTAGAGGAAGGGCAGGATGGCTGTTAAATGTGAACAGATTTCTTCTATTTTCTGTTGTGGCAATAATTACCTACATGTCTTGGAAGGCGCCTCTGGTGCCTCACGTGAAAATTCTCTTGCATCCTTCCAATAAACTGTCACAAGGATGAATGCTCACAAGTCAACGCATACCACCAGATTTGACGAGTTGAGCAGTTTTTAGATTTCTTTGCTGAATACCTCTAAAGTTGTAATCATTCTTGTTTCGCCATCAAGTTACCGCTGACTTATGGTGAACCGTAGGGTTTTTGAGGCAAGAGACGTTCAGAGGTGGCTTGCCACTGCCTGCCTCTGCATAGTCACCCCTGGACTTCCTGGTCTCCCATCTCAGTACTAACCAGGGCCGACCCTGCTTAGCTTCATGAGGTAGCCTGGGCTATCCAGGTCAGGGCATATAAAATTCACTGCAAACCAATTTGGACTTCTTTATAAAACAAGTGTGGTCTTTAAATAGCGTAAAAGGAAATAATAAGTGTGGCGTGAGTGGGACCCTACAGAATTTGGATGAAACTTTCAGTTTGTGTATTGACCCAAACTGTATTAAGGCTGCAGTTACACGGAGCATTAGGCACGCTAGAGAGACGGAAGATAGGCGGATTTTCCGGGCACGATCTCACCGCCACATCTGGGAAGCATAGAGCTCCCATGGCTCACTCGAGGCTTCACTCCGAAGATGCGCTGTAAAAACCGTGGGGCATGAGCGGGCGTCTGATCGCATTTCCGGTGGTAGTTCTGGCGCCCGCCCATGTCCCCTCGCAAAAATGTTTCCCCCCCCCCAAGTCTCCACGGATGCGCACAAGCACCCAACGGCGCATGCACACACTTTAGTTTAAAAAAATAAACACAACCCCGTTTGCCCCGCGGTCCCGCTTCTTTGCAGTGCTGCAGAATCGTCCTGTGATCAGCACCTCCCCCCTAACCACGGGACCTCCACGGGACGTCTGCTCGTGCAACCGTGCATTATTTTGCCCCAGGGCAAACAGCCACCCCCCCCCCGCATTTTCTGGCCCGTATGACCGGGGCCTTAATTTGTCTCTTCATGGTGTATGGAATACTTTACTTCTACAGTAAGACACGATTCAGCATGCCTGGGCATTGGGGGGCACAACGTCACTCTAAGGGTGTCTAGGTGTTATCTCTTTGAATGAGATGCCTCTTTGTCTTCACCTGGGAGCTGCCCTCTGACTCCTTCTTTCATGGAATCATAGAATGTTAGAGTTGGAAGGGACCTTGCAGGTCATCTAGTCCAACCCCCTGCCTCTGCAGGAGCATAGCCGAAAGACAGCCCTACAACATACCCGAAAGATGGTCGTCCAGCCTCCGCTTGAAAACGTCTCCCTTTGTCCTTTACTCTGACTTCACATGGCTTTCCATGGAGACACATGTCTCTGCAAGTCTCCCCTGTAGAAACAATGCCCTCATAATCCCATACACACACACGATGCTAGATAAGCTGGCCATTTGTGATAGGGAAAGGAGTCTTTAGATGAGGCCTCTCTCTCTCCTTTCGATTGCAGCCTGAATGTGAACTGGATCGACTTGGAAAAATGTAAGTTTACCTTTCTTGAAATATACTTCTTGGGAGATTTATTTACTGCACTCCGGTATCACACTTCTATGACTGGGCAAAACTATATTAACCAGGTATCCCAGTATGAGGAACTGGAATGAGGCCTTACATTTTCTCCCTTTTGCCATCCCTCTCTGCTGGAACAGAACATACCGTGTACCTTCACCCGTCTGTTCAACAATCGGTGCAGGAACATCCAGGATCCCGACCGCCTTCTCGCAACCCCCCAAAAAAATTACAGGTAAGGAATTTCAAAATTGTGAAAAGTGTATTGTACTTCACAACTGGGCTTTGTGGGGTTTTTTGCAGACCCAGGCAGGCAGCAAAACAGGAAATTTATTGAGCCACCCATGCATTGCTTGTGGGCTGTGTTTGGTTTGATGAATTGTGTAGTCTTTGCCAAGACTCAGGGAGAGCCTTTCAGAGTGGTGATTTCTACGAAAGCAGCACCCTGTTTTCTCTTTGCAGCCGAAAGTCTGTAGAATAGGCAAGGGTGACACAATGACTGGGGGGGACACCATCCACTGCAGCTCCCCTCTCCACGGAGATTAACTGCAGGAAGTGCTTTTATGCCCTTCTTTTTTTTCTCCTTTCCATGCAGGAATTTTTAGAATGCGAAGTGGCGTTGAGTTTGCGCCTTCCCGGCCCACGTCTTCTCACTATCCATAGTCTTTCCACCCCCCCTTAGCCCCGGCCAAAGAATTCCAAGCGTTTTGAAAACCTAGACCTTGGAAGCAGAAGGAATTTATGCAAAATAACTGTATGCCTGATATTTGCATCTGCACGACACAGAACTTTGATTTCTTTGGCGCGGAGTCCACGTAAACCTTGGCTTTAATTGGAATGTTGGATTAACGTCATAATTATCTTTCTTGTTTTAAGTGGCAGGGTGCTTCTGAGAACGGCAGTCGCTGTTTGAGGGCATGGGGTGGTTTATTGATGAGTGGGGGCGGGACACTGGATGGAACTACTTCCCTCTTCCAAAACACTAGAACTCAAGGGCATCCAATGGAGCTGATGGGCAGTAGGTTCAGGACAGACGAAAGGAAATACTACTTTACACAGAGAGTGGTTAAAATATGGAATTCGCTGCCAGAGGAGTTAGTGATGGCCACAGGAATAAACATTCTACTCTTCTAGAATAACATTATATTGCAGTAGCAGTCTATGTCATAAACAGATATTGAAAAGTGTAAGATGATACAGTTGCAGTAGCTCTTTCAGTGCTGCTGCATTTTGGGGGCAAAGAAAGCTGAAAGGCCCTCTTGGTTCTTGAGCAATAACAAGAACCACATATACAGTGAAATCCTTAGCAGAGTCACACCCTTCCAAGTGCATTAAAGTTAATGGCCTTAGAAGAGTATAACAGCTTAGGTCTGCAGTGATCATTGACTTTATCTTGTGAGGTACTGGCTAGCTCGAGCCAGTTTGGTGTAGTGGTTAAGTGTGCGGACTCTAATCTGGGAGAACCAGGATTGATTCCCCACTCCTCCACTTGCAGCTGCTGGATGACCTTGGGCAAGCCATAGTTCTCTCAGAGCTGTTCTTGAAAGAGTAGTTATTGAAAGAGCTCTCTTAGCCCCACCTCCCTCACAGGGTGTCTGTTGTGGGGAGGGGAATGTAAAGAGGTTTGTATGCCACTCTGAGACTCCTTCAGGTAGTGAAGGGCAGGGTATAAATCCAACCTCCTCTTCCTCCTCCATCATGGCAGAGGTTCTGGTTAGTGCAATCCAGTTAGGTGTCTGATGCTGCAATCCTAAGTGGAGTTACACTCATCATAGGATCCTAGAATCACAGAGTTGGAAGGGGTCCTAGGGGGCATCCAGTCCAGCCCCCTGCTCAATGCAGGATCAGCCTAGAGCAGTGGTGGCAAACTTATGGCACGGGGGCCAGAGGTGGCACTCAGAGCCCTCTCTGTGGGCACGCGTGCCATCGCCCCAGCCAGGCCTAGACCATCATTAAAGTGTCGAATTCTCTGCGAAATAATTTTAAGTAAATGAAAGCATTTGGGATTGCTTTCCTTTATTTGTTTGGACCATCTTAAGTTAATGTATGGGTTGTTTTTTTCTAAAGTAAAACCTCAGTATTCAGGTTAAATTGCCGTGTTGGCACTTTGCGATAAATAAGTGGGTTTTGGGTCGCAGTGTGGGCACTCGGTCTCTAAAAGGTTTGCCATCACTGGCCTAGAGTATCCCTGACAAGCAGGGCTTTTCTTTTCCTTTTGGAAAAAGAGGAGCCAGAACTCTCAAGAGGGAAACAAAGTCTTCAGTCTGCATACTGGAAACTCATGAACTTCTAAACATTTTTAAAAGAATTTTGTCGAAGTGGTTCCAGAACTCCATTCCGGCGTGTTCCCCCCGAAAAAGAAGCCCTGCTGATGAGTGTTTGTCCAGCGACTGCTTAAAGACGGCCAGTGAGACTCCCACTGACTTCAGTGGACGTAGGAGAGGGTGACTCTGTGCAGGACGGCACGGCAAGACAGCCAGAGAGACCCCTCTGCTTTGATCCTTATGCCTTTTCTTCTCTTTCTTTTCTTTTGCAGGCACCCACATCCCCGCGGCTTTAGAAAAGAGCAAGCGCCCAGCAGCACCTTAAAGACTAACAGGACTTGTGGCAGGGGATGATCTCTCGTGAGTCGCGGCTCCCTTCTTCGGATACCTGCCGCCTCTGTGCTCCAGCGATGGCCGCTGAAGTGGTCTTAATGAAGGCCGCGCGCTGCTGTGGGGCTTACGCCCATCCCTAGTACAGTGTAGAGGCCTGGCCTCGCGGTGGAGCCCGCAGGATGGGGGGCAGCAGCTCGGCCCTGAAAGTTTGCACAGATCACCAGGGAGGAATCAACTGGCTCAGCCTCAGCCCCGATGGGCAGTGGCTGCTGACCGGCAGCGAAGACGGCACCGCGCGACTCTGGAGCACTGCGGACAGCCAATGCAGGGGCCATTTTCAAGGTAGAGTCAACGTGCCCTTTGTTACAGGTCCTGACCCTGAGACGCTGTCTTAGGGTCCCCCCCGGCCACCGGTGGAGTTGGGGGGTACAGGGTTGCCAGCTCCAGATTGGGAAACTCCTAGAGATTTGGGGGTGGAGCCTAGAGAGGACAGGGATTTGGGGGTGGAGCCTAGGGAGGACAGGGACCTCGGGGTGTGCGTGTGCAATGCCATAGAGTCCCTTAGGGTTCCCAGCCTCCAGGTGGGGCCAGGGGCTCGCCCACTTTTGCAACTGATCTCCAGCTGACAGAGATCAGCTCCTGTCGTGGGCACTGGTCCGGCTGAGGCTGACTCCTCCCCAGAGGAGGAAGAGGCAGGGAGCAACTCAACCTCCTCTGGAGTCAGCCCAGAGGAAGAACCCCCAACAGTCCCTGAGGAGGAAGAGTCCCCAGCAGCCGCACAAGAGGTGCAGCCAGAAGGAGAGGCCGATCCTGAGCCTGGCCCAGCACCCCCAGCTGCAGACACCCCGAGGCCAGACTCCCCGAGGCCAAGTTCTCCCGAGTGCCCCAGAGACGTCGGGCACCATGCAGGAGCGAAGAAGGAGTTCCAGGCTGCAGCTCCTGCAGAGGCCAGGGGAAGAACTGTAAGCCTCTGCAAACTCAGCTCCCAGGGAAGGAAGGACCTGTTCAAAAACCCTCCGTGCTGCTGCTTCAGTGCAGCGGCAGCTCTGTGTCATCAGACCTGCCTCTGAGTGTGCAGCAGCCGCTCGTGGTCCTTGGAAACTTGCAATCTTGACTTGACTTCCCGGCTATCCGACCTCTGGCTTTGTTACTGACCTGGATTTTGGACCGTGTTTCTAGCTTCTCGTGTATAGTCTTGGTGGGCCCCAGCCAAGATAGCACAGCTCCCCTGGAGAAAATGCCTGCTTTGAAGGGTGGACTCTATGGCATTGTACCCTGCCCCTCCCCTCCCCAATTGTCATAAGAACATAAGAGACGCCAATGTTGGATCAGGCCAAAGGCCCATCCAGTCCAACACTCTGTGTCACACAGTGGCCAGAAATACCAGTGCCATCAGGAGGTCCAGCAGTGGGGCCAGGACATTAGAAGCCCTCCCACTGTTGACCCCCCCCCCAAGCACCAAGAAGACAGAGCATCACTTGCCCCAGAGCCCCTAGCTATACCTTGTGGCTAATAGCCACTGATGGACCTCTGCTCCATATGCTTATCTAATTCCCTTTTGAAGCTGTCCATGCTTGTAGCCGCCACCACTTCCTGTGGCAGTGAATTCCATGTGTTAATCACTCTTTGGGTGAAGAAGTACTTCCTTTTATCCGTTCTAACCCGACCGCTCAGCAATTTCATGGAGTGCCCACGGGTTCTTGTATTGTGAGAAAGGGAGAAAAGTACCTCTTTCTCTACCTGCTCTTTCCCATGCATAATCTTATAAACCTCGATCATGTCACCCCTCAGTCGTCTTTTCTCCAAGCTAAAGAGCCCTAAGCGCTTTAACCTTTCCTCATAGGGAAAGTGTTCCAACCCTTTTATCATTCGAGTTGCCCTTTTCTGCACTTTTTCCAAAGCTATAATATCTTTTTTAAGGTGTGGTGCCCAGAACTGCACACAGTATTCCAAATGAGGTCTCACCATTGATTTATATAGGGGCATTATTATATTGGCTGATCTGTTTTCAATACCCTTCCTAATAATCCCCAGCATAGCATTGGCCTTCTTTATTGCAGTCACACACTGTCTCGACATTTTCAGTGAGTTATCTACTACAACTCCAAGATCTCGCTCTTGATCAGTCTCTGCCAGTTCAGACCCCATCAATGTGTATTTATATTTAGGATTTTTGGCTCCAGTGTGCATCACCTTGCACTTGGCCACATTGAACCCTATTTGCCATGTTGACGCCCACTTGCCCATCCTTGACAGATCCCTTTGGAGTGCCTCACAATCCTCACTGGTTTTCACCACCCTGAACAACTTCGTGTCATCCGCAAATTTAGCCACTTCACTCCTTACTCCCAACTCCAAATCATTAATGAACAAGTTAAAAAGCAGTGGACCAAGTACTGATCCAGGTGGGATCCCCGGGTCCCACCTGGAGGACGGCATCCCTACCTGTCTTAAGGTATTTTCCCCCTCAGCAATATTCTTTATGACACAGGAAGAGCTAGGTCTAAAATGTAAGCAGGGCTAAGAGAGGTTTTGTTGTTGATTGCCCTGGTCTTTTCCCTCTAGATAGTCTAGACTAGGGGAGCTCCAGCGAGATTCCTGCGGATGCCGCGGTGCCTGCGAGCACCTTTCTTGGGGCCTGCTGAGTGCTCTTAGAAAGTGGGCAGTGCCAAGTGGGGCTTTTGCCCAGCAAGGCTTCTAATTGGCCATGAGAAATTTGATTGGCTGTGCAGATTTTTAAAAATACTGCTTTGGCAGGAGGTGCCAACGCAGCACAAGGATCTTCACTGCGTGACTGAAAGTAAGCTGCAGTAGCCATTTTGTGGCTGGTTTCCGCCTTTTTTGGCAGCCATTTTGTGGCTGGCTCCGCCTTTTTTGGCAGCCATTTTGTGGCTGCGCCCATCATACTGTGTCAGAATTCCGAAGATGTCCAAAAGCTCAAAAAGTTTGGAGATCCCTTTTAGCTGTTTATAAGCAAATAGTTCTTTGTTAAGCACAAAGATGTCTGAGCGTATGGTCTGTGTTCCTACAGCACATTAGATACAGCCCCTTCTAAGTTCTGGTCCGTTCTGATGATACTAATGTCAATACAACTGTAGTAGCCTCATAGAATCTGGCAAGCTGTTGTGTGCCTGCCTGTCCCAGTTTCTTTAAGACTTAAAAAATCTCTGTTAAAAAAAAAGTTTCTGTTCTTCTAGAACCCTTGCAGGGTGCTCTTTCAGGGTTGCAATTATTTATAATGTACCAAAAATGCCTTGGTTAAGTAAAACTGAATTAAAAATAAAATTAATGTCCTGCTCGAGGCAGCTGTCAAGTCATAATTAACACGTTTCAAATTAAAACCAAACAATAAAATAACTCTAAATACCACTTTTCCTCGCTTGGCCCTGCCTGCAGGCTTACAAATCTAATAAAAGAGAAGACACAACACATTAGGGAGGAATGATAAACAAGGTAAAAGGAAAGGAAGATCAATCGAGGGAAAAGCCAGAAGGAAGAGATGTGTTTCAAGAAAGTGTTTGGATGCAGAGGCGAGGGAAGAGACTTAGATGCTCGGTGGAGACAGTGGTACCTGCAGAGGTCATTTCGGGGGGGACGCGGGGGAACGCAGTTCCCCCAGGTGAGGTGCAGGGGGGTGGGGCACATGACGAAACCCCGCCCCCTGCTTCCGGCTGCCCCGCTTCCAGCCCTCATTCAGCCAGGAGGAGGCAGGAGAAGAGGGAGGGTAAGTTGCTTCCTCCCTGCCTCTCCCCACCCCTGCCTGCCTGGGGCCAGGGAGGGCCTTCGCGGGGCTTCCTTGCACTCCCGCTGGCCTTGCAGGTCCACCGCTGGGCCCCTGATGTCAGGGGGTGTGGCATATGCTAATGAGTTATGCTAATGAGTTCCCCTAGCTCTTTTTCTACGAAATGACCCCTGGTACCTGTAGTAGAGACCTGCAAGGCAGTAGAGAGTGTAATCTTTTAACTAAGAGATGAGTACCAATTGAGTGAATGTTCCGTACACGGGAAGACAGATGCAGATCATAGAATCATAGAATGTTAGAGTTGGAAGGGACCTTGCAGGTAATGTAGTCCAACCTCCTGCACTCTGCAGGACCATAGCCGAAAGATAGTAGGGATTATGAAAGCACCATGAGTAGATACTTCGTCCGTGCTCTTGGACCCTGGGCTGGGACTGACAGGACATAGTTTAGGTGGCTTTTCCCTCCATAAATCACGGAGCTGAGCCACGGCCCCCTCCCCCAGGTTAATCAGATTCACCTTCAACAAGCGGCTGCAGAAATTCAGCAAATCTAATGGTAAAAGGCGGAAATGCAGTGCCCCTGGGTATCTCTAATGGAGGAGGAGGAGGAGGAGAAGAGGAGGAGATGGGATTTATACTCCGATCTTCAGTCGGAGTCTAAGGGTGCCTTACAAACTCCTTGCCCTTCCCCTCCCCACAACAGACACCCTGGGAGGTAGGCGGGGCTGAGAGAGCTCTTGACAGGACTGTCCTTGAGAGAACAGCTCTGACAGAGCTATGGCTTGCCCAGGGTCATCCAGCAGCTGCAAATGGAGGAGTGGGGAATCAAACCCGGTTCTCCCAGATAAGAGTCCAGACGCAAGTTTTTGTTTTGAGCCAGCAAGAGCTAATTGGGGGGTGGGGGGAGCTGCTCCTTTTGGAAGGATACGAAACTAAAGGAAGTCATGCTCTGCAAGACCCGAGCAAGGCTGTCAACCATGGGATGTTTTGGAGGACATTCATTTGGAGGGTTGCCATACGTTGGAAGTGACTTGACAGCACTGAACATACAAGCAAACAACCAGGGCTATTTTTGGGCAGGAACGCACAGGAACGGAGTTCCGGCTGGCTCCCAAGTTGGCCACGCCCAGCAGGAACTCATTAGCATAATAGGCCACATCCAACATTAGGATTGGCTAGATTAGGGGTGTGTGGCCTAACATGCAAAGGAGTTCCTGCTACAAAAAAGCCCTGGGTTTGGACAACAAACAAGGTAAACAGAATAACAAGCAAAAGGTGGGTGTGGCTGGATGACCAAACTTCTGGTAACATGGGAATGCGGCCTAATATGCTAATGAGTTTCTGCTGCTGGGTGTGGCCTATTATGGTAATCAGTTCCTGCTGGACTTTTTCTACAAAAAAAGCCCTGCAAACAACTATCATCCGTCGGCCCTGTGGCATTCGTTCCAGCTGTGGGGATGAGCTAATGGAAGGCATGGGGTACTGCCGTGGGGGGGCATTGCCGCCTGTGTGCTCGGCTCTAGGGCACTGTGGCTCGCCTAGAGATGCCACCCTTCAGGTGGGACCTGGGGATCTCCCAGAAGTACTGCTCATCTCCAGATGACAGAGGTCCGTTCCCCTGGAGAAAATGGATGCTTTGGAGGGTGGGCGGACTCCATAGCATTATACTCCACTGAGTTCCCTGTCCTCCCCAGGCTCCACCCCCAAATCACCTGGACTTTCCCAACCTGGATCTGGCAACCGCAGACTTGCCCCAGATGAGTAGCCAATTGCATCTGTTTGTATTTGTTCTCTCCTTGGAACAAGACACAGCAGATCTCTCCTATGCTTTGCTGCACAGTTTCGCTTTTCACCGACAATGTAGTTTTTATTTTTGTCCTCCCGGAGTATCCTTGATACCTCAGTCAGTCGAAAGAATCCATTTAGTTGGGACAACGTGAGTCTCTGCAGCTGAATAAACAGCCCCCTTGCCCCCCCCCCCGCCGATAAAAACCGCTTCAATGTGAGCTGGAGGATTGTTTTCCATCTACCGGAGGAGCGAGAGATACCGCTTTAAATACGATTCCCCATAGACTGACCTCAAGGCAACTAAGGAATGTGGAGGCCTACACTGAAGGAAAACCTGTTAGGCAAGAAGTTTGTGGATTGGTGGGATTAGATTATCAAAACAAAGAAAGCATTTCTGTGCTTGAGTCAGAAAATGCTCAGATTACCAATGTGTAAATTGTTCGAGGTCTCCTGTGTAGAGACTGCCTTCTTGCCGCACAGAGAACAAGGAATTTAATATTAAACCATCGCAGGATTCAATCCCTATCAGAGTTTAGCTGGGAGTAGGCACTGAACTCAGTAGGACGGTGGAGGGACGCATAGTGTTCACCCGTTTGCATGGTAGTTTTAGAATGTACTGGTACGTTTACGGGAGGTTCTAGGAGAAACGTAGAGGTGAAAGCAGGTGCCCTTGGTGAACATTTAATACCTGTTTCTTAGCAGTCTTTAGGACATTTCTACTCCATGAATTTAAAACTGGCTTAAGAGCTTTTTTGCTAAGTCCTGGTTAGCAGCTTGATCTCATCCAATCTTGGAAGCTGAGCAGGGTCAGCCCTGGCTGGTACTTGATTGGGAGACCCCCAAGGAAGTCCAGGGTTGCTATGCAGAGAGAGGCCATGGCTAGTTCTATGTCATCAGAGCTCAGAAGCTAAAGCAGGATTGTCTCAAGTTTTTAGTTGGATGGGAGACTACCAAGGAAGTGCCGGGTTGCAGGCAAAGGCAAACCACCTCAGTTCCTCTCTCGTCTTGAAAACCCCACAGGTTCTTCATAACTTGACTGAGCCTTGGCATCACTTTCGACCACTAATAGCTTCCCTCCCCCCCTCTGCCTTGGGGACTGTAGTTTTGTGAGCAGAATAAAAAGTAAAGGTTCCCTTGCTCGAAAGCCAGTCGAATCCGACTCTAGGGTTGCGGTGGTCATCTCCGTTTCCAAGCCGAAGAGCCAGCGCTGTCCGAAGACGTTTCCGTGGCCATGTGGGCGGCATGACTAAACACTAAGGCGCACGGAACGCTGTTACCATCCCACCGAAGTGGTACCTATTTATCTACTTGCAATTTCTTGCTTTCGAACTGCTAGGTTGGCAGGAGCTGGAACTAGAGACGGGAGCTCACTCCGTCATGCGGCGCACTCGGGTCTCGAACTGCTGAACTACCGACCTCCCACAGCCTGCAGTTCAGCCTCTTAACCACTTGAGCCACCACAGCTCCTGTGAGCGGGGTACTCGGCCCTTAACTGAGCTTCATAAGAATCCACTGAGATACATTCTGACGTTTAACATGGTGCATAAAACTGGCCTAATTTTGTAATGCCGATACACCTGAAGAGCCCTTTCCGTTCTGTGGTGTAAATTGTCATCTGGCTTAAAACTAAAGAGGTCCAGCCACATTTGATGCCCTTTCAGCAGAAGTTCCCACTGTGTTGTTTTCATTGATCTGTGTATCGTTTGTAGGGCATGAAAGCTACATCACTTTTTGCCACCTAGAAAACGAAGCGGCCTTCACGTGTAGCGCGGATCACACCATTCGGAAGTGGGATGTAATGACCGGCCAGTGCCTGGCAGTTTACCGAGGGCACACCTCCATTGTGAACAGGTAGGTAGACCCGAGTCTTTATAAAGATAAATTGGATACATTTTTGGGAACTGTGGTCTGTACTACTGTGTATAGTTTGCTGTAGGTTGGATCCTTTTGTGTAATAGTTTGCTAGAAGCTGAATCCTGCTGTGTAGTCTTGCATCATTTAATGTGCATTGTTAAGAAGAAGAAGAGCAGAGATTGGATTTATACCCCACACTTCACTACCCAAAGGAGTCTCAGGTTGGCTTGCAATCTCCTTCCCCTCCCCACAACAGACAGCCTGTGAGGTAGGTGGGGCTGAGAGAGCTCTCTCGAGGACTGCCCTTGAGAGAACAGCTTTGAGAGAACTTGTAACTGACCCAAGGTCACGCCAGCAGCTGCATGTGGAGGAGTGGGGAATCAAACCCAGTTCTCCCAGATTAGAGTCCGCGCTCCTAACTACTACACTGAACTGTCTCTCTTAACACTTAGGCTGTGCTTCAGTTCCATTTTTCGGACCTCTGGTTGGTCCTGCAGCCCAAATCCTATTTCATTGCTTATTCAATGTCCCATTTGGTTGATTGTGTTGACTCACTTTGCGTAAACCGCCTGGAGTCCTGGTGAGAAAGGGGGACTATAAATAATGCCAATAAAAAATTAAATAGTCTTCTAGATTTCTCTCCCTTCCTTGTCTATCTATAACCTGATTCCACTTGAATTCTCACTCCTGTCTCCTTTTCTAACGAATAATTTCCCCTGTGCATAAACAGGCAGTGTAAATCTCTCCTTCGCGTGTTCTTGCTGGTGTGATTGGTTATCCTAATAATAATACTGCTGACATAGCTATAGTCTAGGGATGGGGGAATGACAAGAAAGCTCACAAGAAGAAAACTGAACCAAATCTGCTGCTGTGAATGACATTCCAGAGGAAAGGGTGCGGGAGAAGAGACTCAAACGAGTTGGTAACAGATACACCTGATAAAGAGTTTGCAAAGCATCCAGTTACGAGTGAAAGGATACAGCTGTATAACACAGCTAGGGATTTTTTAAAAGCTGTATTTTTTTAAAGTTTTGGAAATCTGCCTCACTTTTGATTACCCCCAGAGAAGCTTCAAGCCAGGTGCTCTGATACTAAACTTGCACATTTTAATCATGAGGAATAAGTGTCCCTTTCTGGGAGCCTGGGACCAAAAAGGTACCAAAAGCAATAAATTTTATGGGAAAACGATGACCTTTGCACGCTGTTAGGCCCGGGGTGACCATTTGCAAGCTTATCCTTGTGCTATTGCGACTTCATTAGGGGGTGGTCATCTCTGAGTTTCAGATATGCAGTGAGTTGCATTTGACCACTTCCATCACTCGCTTACCGTGTTGCTCAGGAGTTAAAGAACAGCGAGAGAACTCTCCTTGACATGTGGTCAGATGTATTTTTATTTATTTATTTGGATATTTGTAACCTGCATTTTCTCATGGCTCAAGGTGGCTTATAAGTCACAGGTAAAACTCCACAATTTAAAACCAAACCCCAGACAGCCCCTCTTGTAGTTGCGCCTGTTGTGATCTTTCAGGCAGCCACTGCATGGCCACTGGGTGCATACGTGCAGTCATTGTTACTGACCGTTAAGTTTGAGGTATTAGAGTAAGCAGTCAGCCCTAGAATTTCTGCTACCCACTTGGTTAAACTGAAAATAGAGGAGAAGTCCCCGGAAGAATGAGCTCGAAGCTGCAAATGGAAGAAACTAGCCCAGTATATCTTGTAGGCTACTGTGTGTAGTTCACAGTTCGATGTGTTGAAAAGATTGCAAGGCAGACTATGTAAGCGATTAAGAGTTGGGAATTACAGATGCTATGAGGATACAGTTCGATGTGTTGAAAAGATTGCAAGGCAGACTATGTAAGCGATTTAAGAGTCGGGAATTGCAAATGCTATGAGGATAAGTCAAAGAAATTGAAAGACACTTGGGACAGAGAAAAGAAGATGGATGAATAGAAAGAAGGAGAAGGAGACTGAGCCCTATGAGGAAGGGTTGAGGGACTTGGGAATGTTCAGACTGGAGAAGAGGAGGTTGAGGGGGGGGCATGATTGCTCTCTTGAAGTATCTGAAGGGCTTTCCCTTCGAGGAGGGCAGGGAGCTGTTCCTGTGGGCAGCAGAGGACACGACTCCCAATTAATGGGTTTAAATTAAGGGCGGGAAGGTACCAGCTGGATCTTAGGAAAAACTTTTCGACAGTAAGAGTCGTGCAACAGCAGAACCAGCTGCCCAGGGAGGTGGTGAACTCCCCCTCCCTGGCAGTCTTGAAGCAGCGGCTGGACAAACGCTTATCAGGGATGCTCTAGGCTGATCTTACATTGAGCAGGGGGCTGGACTAGATGGCCTGTACGGCCCCTTCCAACTCTGGGATTCTATTCTATGACATTTGATCCTCAGCTTACTTCCTCCCCCTCCTCCCCCCAGGATCCTGGTTTCCAAGGACTATCTCTTCAGCGGCTCCTATGACCGAACAGCACGCTGCTGGAGCGTGGACAAAGAGAAGCCGATCCAGGAGTTCCGGGGCCATCGGAACTGTGTCCTGACTTTGGCTCTCTACTCCTCCAAGGATCTCCTCGAGGATTCCGAAGGGGAGGAGTCAGAGGAAGAGAAATTAAGCAAGGACTTCCTGGTGACGGGAAGCACAGACTGCACGGTCAAGGTCTGGTGGGTGTCCAGCGGGCGTTGCCACCAGACTCTGCTGGGACACACTGGGGCCATCCTATGCCTTATACTTGATGCTCCGAACAGGGAACTCTTTTCGGGCAGCACTGATTACACCATTCGGACGTGGAACATCGTGACCGGCGAGCAGCTGAGGGTGATCAAAGAGCACCAAGGAGCCATTATCTGCCTGGAGGTGAGCGAGAGAGGTGGTTCATTCCAAGGAACGAGGGCCTAACAAAGCATTCGGTGGGATGAGGCCCACGTGGAGCCGCAGTGGATTGGTGGGAGGTGCCGTGGCTCAGCGGTAGAGCATCTGCTTGGCATTCAGAAGGTCCCTGGTTCAATTCCCAGCATCTTCCAGTTAAAAGGACCAGGCAGGAGGTGGTGTGAATGACCTCTGTCTGAGACCCTGGAGAACTAATGCCAGTCCTGAGTAGACAATATGGACCTTGCTAGACCAGTGGTCTGATTCAGTATAAAGCAGCCTCATGTGTTCCATGGAAGGACTTCTGTGGATGGCACAAGTAAGAAAAGCATTGTCAGCGGAATCTTATGGAGAGTTACTCTGACCTAAGCCTCTTGCAGACTGGAGTAACTCTGCATAAGATTGCATTGTACATCATTTCCCTCATTAAGACATACTGGGTTGGATCGTGCCAGTTTTCCGCTGGCAGAAACAGATCATCCCTCCTTAGGATATGCCGGGGGTCCATGGCACCTGCCAACACTTTTCCTGGCACCCGCAGGTGTTTTTAGAAAGTTGGTTGTTCCAGGTGGGGCTTTTGCCCAGCAAGGCTTCTGATGGGCTGTGCAGATTTTTAAAAAGGTTGTTTTGCTAGCAGCTGCCACAACAGCACAAGAATCTGCACTGGGTGCCTGAAGCTAAGTGGTGGCAGCCATTTTGTGTCAGCCATTTTGTGTCAGCCATTTTGTGGCTACGCCCACAGGCTTTGTCAGAGTTCCGTAGGTGCCCACAAGCTCGGAAAAGTTGGTGATCCCTGAGATATGCTGTGGATCGGGGGACTTGCATGGGCAATAAGGCACATTGGCTAGAGGCGCTGCTGTGTGAAGGAGACTGGAGGAAGAACAGCCCTCCTCCTCCTTGGGCCGGCAGGAAGTTGGGAGCTTCCAACCCAGTAGCTATCAGTGTGCTCACACAGACCTTTGCTTGGGAGAGAAGTTGTTATCAAATTCAGGATGAGGAACAGCTGGAGCGGGACTGACTTTGGCTTCCCGAAGGCATTAAAATGCCTGAAGTCCAGTTCCGGTTTGACAGCGTGCCCGGAGGAGTTGGCTACGCTTGTCTGCTGACAGACATCCCCACGGGCAATAACTGCAGAGATGCCGCACACTTAATGGGCTATGGCAAATTATGGGGATGGGAAAGAGAGTCTGCATCGTTATGGCATTATCTGTGGGCATTAAATCTGTGTTGCTGGCAAGCTCTGGCTTGCCGAGTCCCCGGCAAGCAGAACTGAGGACGGTTAAATGCATCAGTGTCATTTCAATTTACCGTATCCCGCTGAGAAATGTCTTGGCTGGGGTGTTCATTTTGGAAGTGGTCTGTGTTGGAAGGAAGGACGTGAGATGCTCTGAGTCCAGTTTTATTTTTATTAGTGTAGATAGGAACTTTAAAATGCAAAACCCAGCTCTGTGACCGGAGTAACGTATAGTAATTAGACAGATGATTTCCTCTGTGGATGTATTCCATATATACCATAAATATGGTGTGTGTCGTTTCCTCCCCCCCCCCCCATAATTAGACAAAAACTGAATCGGGACTGAAATGGAGAGGGGAGGAGGGAAGAGGAGGGACATACCCAGGGGTCATTTAGTAGAAAAAGAGCTAGGGGGACTCATTAGCATAACTCATTAGCATATGCCACACCCCCTGACATCACCGGAAGTGTGTCCTCCCCACAGCCGGCGGCGACCTCCAGCGGGCACCAGCAGGGAGCTCCAGGCCCCGCCCTCCCGCACCTCACCCGGGGGGATGGCGTCCCCCCCAAAAATGACCCCTGCATACCCAATGTTCCCTCTAAGCTGTGAAGTCTTGTGAGCAGAAATCCTACTTTGTGAGCTCCTGGCATGAAAGTTGTGAGCGGGCAACTTGGCTGCTGCATAGATTAGTTTGTTCTGGAGCCATCCCTTCCTGAGCGCAGACAAAAATGTGTGAGCTGGAGGCTAAAAAATGTGAGCTAGCTCACACCGGCTCAGCTTAGAGGGAACCCCGGACATAACTGGAAGGAGGGCGTAGTTAGAAGGCCACTCAGTCCAGCCGCATTCGTAAAGCTGAAAAGGTTTGTGCTTGGATGGGAGACCTCTCAGGAACGCCATGCCTTGGAGGACGGAAACTTTTTTCACCTGGTGCCCAAAAGCTAAGAAGGGAAGGAGCCTGGGAAACTGAGGGAGGGAGCTCCTTAGGGTGGGGTGCCACCACGGAGGAGCCCTTCACTTTGACACCACGAGGATGGGCGGGTTCACGATACGATGCTCAAGACACCGTTCCAGTGGACAGCGTGAGATTCAGAGCTGGCAGCTGTGATCTCTGTCCAGTGCGAGGGGCATACAGCGAGTGCTGACAGTTTGTCAGACCGCCGCCCGTGGAAGTGTGGAGATAGCTGGAGAAAACTAAAAGTCCAGTGGCACCGTAAAGACTTAACAACTTTTGATGGGGTCTGAACTGGCAGAGACTGAGCAAGAGAGAGATCTTGGAGTTGTAGTGGATAACTCACTGAAAATGTCGAGACAGTGTGTGACTGCAATAAAGAAGGCCAATGCTATGCTGGGGATTATTAGGAAGGGTATTGAAAACAGATCAGCCAATATAATAATGCCCCTATATAAATCAATGGTGAGACCTCATTTGGAATACTGTGTGCAGTTCTGGGCACCACACCTTAAAAAGGATATTATAGCTTTGGAAAAAGTGCAGAAAAGGGCAACTCGAATGATAAAAGGGTTGGAACACTTTCCCTATGAGGAAAGGTTAAAGCGCTTAGGGCTCTTTAGCTTGGAGAAAAGACGACTGAGGGGTGACATGATCGAGGTTTATAAGATTATGCATGGGAAAGAGCAGGTAGAGAAAGAGGTACTTTTCTCCCTTTCTCACAATACAAGAACTCGTGGGCACTCCATGAAACTGCAGAGCGGTCGGGTTAGAACGGATAAAAGGAAGTACTTCTTCACCCAAAGAGTGATTAACACTTGGAATTCACTGCCACAGGAAGTGGTGGGTGCTACAAGCATGGATGGCTTCAAAAGGGAATTAGATAAGCATATGGAGCAGAGGTCCATCAGTGGCTATTAGCCACAAGGTATAGCTAGGGGCTCTGGGGCAAGTGATGCTCTGTCTTCTTGGTGCTTGGGGGGGTCAACAGTGGGAGGGCTTCTAATGTCCTGGCCCCACTGGTGGACCTCCTGATGGCACTGGTATTTCTGGCCACTGTGTGACACAGAGTGTTGGACTGGATGGGCCTTTGGCCTGATCCAACATTGGCGTCTCTTATGTTCTTATGTTCTTATGTTCTTATGTTCTTATGTTCTTATGTTCTTATGTTCTTATGTTCTTATGTTCTTATGTTCTTATGTTTGTTTCAGCACCAGCTTTCGAGAGTCGGAGCCAGTGTTCCCCCTAAGCTGAGTCAGTGTGAGCTGGCTCACCGTTTTTTAAGCTTCCAGCTCACACATTTGTTGCCTGAGCTCAGGAAGGGACGGCTCCAGAGCAAACTAATTTATGCAGTAGCCAAATCTGTCGCTCACAGCTTCAATGCCGGTTGCTCACAAGGTAGGATCTTTGTTCACAAGACTCCACCGCTTAGAGGGAGCTTTGGTCGGAGCTCGGAGAAAGCCAAGCTTAAGTGACTGACCCGTATACATATGAGAAGATGAGAATAATCAACCCCGGGGCAAAGAGAAGTCAAGCCGCCTTCTGCAGTGGCGTGCAAGCTCTGTGGGCAGAAGGGGTCATAAGAACATAAGAACATAAGAGACGCCAATGTTGGATCAGGCCAAAGGCCCATCCAGTCCAACACTCTGTGTCACACAGTGGCCAGAAATACCAGTGCCATCAGGAGGTCCAGCAGTGGGGCCAGGACATTAGAAGCCCTCCCACTGTTGACCCCCCCCCAAGCACCAAGAAGCCAGAGCATCACTTGCCCCAGAGCCCCTAGCTATACCTTGTGGCTAATAGCCACTGATGGACCTCTGCTCCATATGCTTATCTAATTCCCTTTTGAAGCCGTCCATGCTTGTAGCACCCACCACTTCCTGTGGCAGTGAATTCCATGTGTTAATCACTCTTTGGGTGAAGAAGTACTTCCTTTTATCCGTTCTAACCCGACCGCTCTGCAGTTTCATGGAGTGCCCACGAGTTCTTGTATTGTGAGAAAGGGAGAAAAGTACCTCTTTCTTTACCTGCTCTTTCCCATGCATAATCTTATAAACCTCGTTCATGTCACCCCTCAGTCGTCTTTTCTCCAAGCTAAAGAGCCCTAAGCGCTTTAACCTTTCCTCATAGGGAAAGTGTTCCAACCCTTTTATCATTCGAGTTGCCCTTTTCTGCACTTTTTCCAAAGCTATAATATCCTTTTTAAGGTGTGGTGCCCAGAACTGCACACAGTATTCCAAATGAGGTCTCACCATTGATTTATATAGGGGCATTATTATATTGGCTGATCTGTTTTCAATACCCTTCCTAATAATCCCCAGCATAGCATTGGCCTTCTTTATTGCAGTCACACACTGTCTCGACATTTTCAGTGAGTTATCCACTACAACTCCAAGATCTCTCTCTTGCTCAGTCTCTGCCAGTTCAGACCCCATCAATGTGTATTTATATTTAGGATTTTTGGCTCCAATGTGCATCACCTTGCACTTGGCCACATTGAACCCCATTTGCCATGTTGACGCCCACTCGCCCATCCTTGACAGATCCCCTTGGAGTGCCTCACAATCCTCACTGGTTTTCACCACCTTGAACAACTTTGTATCATCCGCAAATTTAGCCACTTCACTGCTTACTCCCATCTCCAAATCATTAATGAACAAGTTAAAAAGCAGTGGACCAAGTACTGATCCCTGTGGTACCCCACTGCTTACCACCCTCCACTGAGAAAATTGCCCACCTACACTCACTCTCTGTTTTCTATGAACTAGCCAGTTTTTGATCCATAAAAGGACTTGTCCTTCTATCCCATGATTTTTGAGCTTACTTAGGAGCCTTTGATGAGGAAC